GATAAGCTTGAATTGACTCTAGTTTCATCTGATGCTTTACCCGCGTCTCTCGCTTGCAACTTCCCTGTATAGTACTCATCGGTTTCAGAATCGGAGTAACCATTATAATCATCACCGGATAAGCTTGCATACTCTCTCAGAGCTAGAGTGTTGGAACAGCAATACGGACAATACGGACTAGCAAGGCCCTCCTCTTCACCACCACTACTGGTACTGTCTAACTCAGCATCCAAACACTCTTAGTGAAAAGAAAGAAAACAATCAATCCCAGAACAACCCGAGAAGCGGAATCTGATACTAGTGAGTTTTGCACAGCCTGTAAATAAACGACATGAAGAAATCGGAATCAATTTCACGATTCCGACAAACAAATTACGGGAAATCTTACGAATTCATCAAAAATCATCAGTTTTAACTTTTAAGTAAGCAAGAGCCTCTAATTTCTCGATTCCAGAAACAAATTACCGGAATCTTAAGAAATTCATCAAAAATATCGAAATTTGTGATTGGATTCCGAGATTGATATGATTCGAGAGACTTTCGCCGGCAAGAACGATTTCAATCTCATCGTCATCTTTTTTTCTTCTGCTTCTACAGTTTTCACCTCACAAGTTTGAAATTATCATAAATGAAGAGTGAATAGAGGAAAACGCTTTTTCTCTCAGTACCTTTGAAGTTGGTACGTATATATATAAGCAATTACTTGTACTAATAAATCATAAAAATACTGTACCCAATTTAAAAATTCATTAAAAAATAATATCGTTTGGAAAAAATAAGGTAAACACTTGACAATGGTTTTTCAGTTGTCACTACATATATATAAAGGATATTGGCAACATTTGTAATGTTTCTCATTTTATAATAATAATTTGGGCAAGTGGCCTATTTAGGTGTCTTGGATAGGAATAAGGGGGAGTTTGCCTCCATATATGTCTGGAAGTTGCGATTCGTCTATGTCTTCAAGTAGAGTTGGAGTGAGTTTCTTTGTCTCCACGAACACAATTTGTCCCCAAAAATAACATCAACATTAACAATCCAATTTCCCAAAACCCAAATAGAGTTCTTGTGTTGTGCCATAGGTGAATAATTTGTACCTTTTTCTTGGTGCTTTTGTTGTCTACAAATAGGTAAATCATTTTTCATGAAAATGTAAGGGGCATGAACTATATAGAGTTTCCTAGTCTCTCTGGATAGCATTAGCAATCCTGAAAATAAGAAAAATAGAAAAAAAATGTTCTATTAATGTTCAGTCATTGGCTCATTGCATATCAATTTTGACTGTCATGACCACATTTACATAAACACTCTTTTATTTGCAAAAACTACGATCACAAATTCACAAAATGGTTGAAGTGTATATGAGTTTGGGTCCATATTTTTATTAGTTGGGGTCTACATTTTTATTGTTTTATGAATTATTGGGCTGTAGAACTCAGGGTAAGAAAAAATACATTTTTCAAACATTATTTTGTGTTTTGGTTGGTGGGGCTCTAAAATGATATAGGCGAATAAGTTGTTGTGACCTGCAAAATGGATAAGGCAGCAATGTAGCCACGGACGTCACAATTAGAATGTCCCCATCCTTGGAGATCTCCGATGCCTATGAACTTTTCTTCACCTCTTGGCATTCTATACATGAAATTATACAAAAATATGCATTAGAGTCATTTTTTGGTTTTAATAAACCACATAAAAATGTAAACTGATTAATAACCTTGCGCATATCTTCTCTAGCGTGTAGACTACAAAACCTGCCCAAAAAAGACATTGGAGAAGATAAGAAAAAAAATTGAAATGTGAGGATGATTTTGTAGAGAAGTAGTGTAACACACACGCTTGAACTCCTCAGGGTTGCCTTTGGAAGGGTTATGTTAGTTTCCAATGATAACAACTATAGGTCGACCAATTTTATCATGACCCTGCATAAACACCTTCTCATGCGATAAATCATTCTCAATCTCGGTTTCCGCTATATATGTAACCCTTTGGGAGAAAGCTTTTTTCCAAGCCAAGTACTTGAGAAATAAGGTTGAAGTCTTTTCAATGTCGAGGTCACGCGCTCGCAAAAACCGCCTTATCATAAGATCATCCACCTCCTAACAAAACTCATCACCCAATACTCAAACATCAACATTATTAATGGTACTTGATTACCACCAAGTCAACCCACAAGTCAAGAAAAATTCAAATTTGGTCACCTAAATTTGACTTTTTTTTTGGAATGTAAAATTTAGTTAAACAAAATAACGTGTTTACAATAATTTGTGACATTGTTTTTGAGCTTAACTTGAACTTTGACTCATTTAAAGAACACGAACCTTAGTTGACGGATCTTGTCGGTCGCAAAGAGCTCTCATGATCCCGACTTTGCTCCTCTCGGTCTCATCTTTAATCAAAGTCACATTCTCATCAGATTTAG